GGGGGACAGCATTGAGGGGGAGGGGCTGAGACGGGCAGGGCTGGTGCACCGGGGGTGGGCGGTGCTGGGGGTGCAGCCGGCTGCAGGGAGGTTTGCGTCTCACGTGTGCAGACGTGGTCAGGAGACAGACTGAGACACAGGCCACCTTCTCGGGTGCAGAGGGACCCACACGGTTGCTCCTTTGGGGGTGTGTCGGGTCCTGGGGCTCAGTGGCCCCAGTGTGGCTGCAGGGCCTTCTGTGGGGGCACATTTTCCATGAGGGCAGGAGAGAGCTCTGTCGCTTGCACCAGATTCTTAAAAGGGTCACGTGTTTGCAAAGTTTAGGAACCACAAATATGTCTGAATATGTTTCTCTGTAGCAACCACAAATATGTGTGAGTCTGACTTAGCGTATCCATGGCAATCGGTGCCACAGGCTCCAGAAGTCGGTTTCTGGACGTTTGCAGGCGTGGACTACCTGGGAGAGACGTCCAGGAGTGTCTGCGTGTCGGGCGGGACGGGGATCCAGGGATCTAGGGATTAGGGTGGTTTCTACCCCAGCCACAGGTGCTGTGGGGTTTCAGTCACGTGGAAACAAAGAGTGGTCAAAGACGGCTTTTCTGGGCTGGTTCCTTTGTGGGGAATACGGGAAAATGGAGGGAAAATGCCCTTCAGGATGGACTTCTGTGGACAGTTTATGTCAAGGAAAGTGCAGAGTCTGGGGTTTCCAGGAGGGCCCTTCGCTGTGAGGTGTGAGATATCACACGTGGAGGCTGGAGAGGAAAGGGGCATCCCCGCCACGTTAGCTGCCCGACGGCTCCCTTTGCGTCCCTGCTCTTGCAGCTGTGTGGTCCTGTGGACTGAAAGGTGAGGCAGACCCTGTGCCGGCCCGTGAGGTGGAAACCGTGGCTGGACTGAGCTGTCCTTATGTGAGGTGCCACGTCTTTCACTCGGCGATTTTTACACAACTAGAAATGATAGTTGCCAGGTATTTAGAATAGATCATACAAATGTCTAAGAAATTTTGTAATGAGTGTTGACATTTTAGTGGAGGAGATACTTTCAGATGTGTTTTCATTTCCATGCTGAAAAACAAGCCCAGACTGGCTTCATTAATGGAGTTGCTTTTGGCAGTTCTTCGTGGCGTGTGTTCAAACGAGCTGGGATACTTCTTCGGGATACACAGGAATTCGTGGCGTGTCTTCAAACGAGCTGGGATACTTCTTTGGGATACACAGGAATTCGTGGCATGTCTTCAAACGAGCTGGGATACTTCGGGATACACACGAATGTGGAGAAAATGCACATGCCCAGTTTGTCTTAATTGTAATAAGACAACCTTGATTTGCATTTTCATCGATGATTTTAAACCTTTTTCTCGCTACTCTTCTCACTGCCTTCGCTGATGCCCTGTTGTGCACTCGGGAGAGAAGCTTCCGGCCCAGGTGCCTCCTCTTTTCCCGATGGCGTGGTTAGGTGGAGTGTCCACGCCGTTTCTCCACGTCAAAGCTCTTTTGCAGGAAACTTAGGGATGTCATCATAGTTTTGTTTCACTGAAACAAAGTCAGCTTTAGAAAGGTTGTTATTGCGTGGCTGCATTTTTTAGAAATCATGACCTACAAAAATCTTAATTTGCAGTTGCTGGTTAGTGGTTACGTGAATTACATTGTGTGGTTTGTCCTGAGAGGATGAAGTAGATGCTGAGTGCATACTTGTACTTGGTCGTTGTTTTCTTAAGGTCTTTTACAAGAAACCATCTAATTAGGGAGGACCTTTGATGACAACTTTCATAAATGCATTTGCATATAAATAAATCACTGCGGAACCTTAGGAACCCTGCATCGGGCATCGTTACGCAAGGTTAGCAAGAACAGGGAATGCCGCAGTGCACCCTGTAACATGCCCCTGCTCCTGAGGGCCAGTCGGCCCTCGTGCTTCCTGCTGCTTTTGCCCCGGCTGACCCTTGGATTCCTGATGCTGTCACCCGCCTCTGTGCCTGTGCTCAGGAGACCCTGGAGAGGCAAGCCTGCATTCGTGGTCAACTCTAGACCACCCCACACCAAACACGGAGGCTGCCCTGGCTCCGCCCAGCTCCTTTCCAGAACTGATCTCTGTTCCCAGTGTCCGAGACCAGTCCTCAGGGCACGACCCCGTGCGCCCTCATCCTCCTGGTGAGCCTGGTGAGGGCGGGCGCTCCACCTTAGGGTGCAGCCTCACCCACCCTTGTCCCCTGGGATGGAGCATGCAGGGAGGTTTAGGGAAGCGAAGTGAAGGAACAAAGACAGGAGGGTTCCTGTGGAGCAGCCTGAGCCACAGCTTGCCTGTCAGGGAATGGGTGGAGCCGCGTACCCTGCATCCCCTGGCACTGTCCCCCGCCCCCTGCCTATGCCAAGCCATAATCATCCGGACGGCACGGCAGCCGACTCTCCCGGCTTCTACTTGTGCCCCCACAAGAAGCTGCATGTTAACGTAAACAAACAAAACTTCCAGGTGTTCTGTTTACATGAAGTCCGCCTTGCACTCTGCAGCCTTTGTCCGAGGAGCTCCCGGAGCACAGGGCTGGAGCGTCAGCCCCTCTGCACACGCAGCCTGGGAGGGCCACGGCCACGGCCCCAGCCCCGTGTGCCTGTGCCCAGACCGGTGGCGACTTCCCCAGCAGGGAGGGGTCAGAACGTGCCAGACCGGGCCTCAGAGAGGCAGAAGCTGTTGCAGTGACTGACTCTCAGCTCTTGAAGGCCCGGAGTGCTTACGGGCTCTCCTCGGACAGTGCTCTTTGTTCCGGAGGCAGGGAGTGACAGGGTCCCATTGGACGGGTGCCTCAGGGCTCTGCTGGGCCGTAGTTCAGGCCGTCGGCCCTGGGCGTTCCTCCTTCACCTTCGTCTTCACCATCGCTGCTCAGGAGTGGCGGCCGAAGCCCCCAGTGCTGGTGACTCTGGACCCTGGGGCCTGGCTCAGCAGCAGCAGTGCTGGGGGACAGCCGTCTGCCTGGTGTTTGGGTGAGCTCCCCGTGCACCCCCAACTGCGTGCAGCCCCCACACCAGGGTCCCCCGCAGCTGCCCAAACCAGGGCCCCCCATCAGCTCCCCACACCAGGGTCCCCCACAGCTCCCAACACCAGGGACCCCCCTCAGCTC